AGTCAAACACACAAGTAATATATTGTGACACGGTTAGGAAAATTTAATAGCAAAAACATTGATTATTAATCACATGTGAAAATGTGTAATAGACGTTATATATAAACAGAGATTGAAAATGATATAAATTTAATGAGTTTTTTTTTTTAATACGACGGGATATAATCTGAAACAATCGATTCTATTTTCTAATTGTAAGTAAAATGAGACAGCAATACAGTTCTTATTGTGGAACAATGTATACATTATAGTTTTCCAAAAATACGATTCTGAATATTAATGTATACAAATGTATCTCAATAACAAACACTTGGTGATGTTTAATGCAAACTTAGTTTGTACACGAACGCGCGTCAGCGACTCTTCTCTCGTACAACCGCCGGCAGCAAGTTCATCGACAAGATTTATTAGAATTTATCGGGATATTCCCGTTACGTTACGCAATTGGCGCGACAAGAATTCGATTCGCTGCATTTTAATGAACCATTTGTCGGCAATAGAGTGATTTAAATGGATTGACTGTCTGTAACGCAATTATTCAAGCGATCGCACGAAGAGAGAACCGCCTTCCATCCCACCTTCCCCGCTCGTAATTTGACGTTCAAAGCGATTCCCAGACATGTGAATTTCGATCATGCGATCCGACATCTTTAAATTATTCATTCCTTCTGATAGTTACCAACTCTGACGCTCGCAAGTGTGTTAGTTTCTGACATGATGGAATAAGTGGAAACGGTAGACCGTTGCTTTCTTTCTTGGCGAAACTTTCGCATTATCTTCTAATGAGTGTTGTTTTAACCTATTTTCCAGGCCCACTATACGAAAACTCCAGATATCTAATCTTGTACGTTAGCGTCTCAGAGTTTCCAACACACACGCATTTGCGCGTGTATATATATATATACAGTTACACTCGAGTAAGAATTCCATTATATAATCTTTGTTCGTAGCTAAAGCTCCTAATAACATTTGTGCAAAGATAGCAATAACTTGGAGAAAATTAACAATACCAAGTCAATCTTGTTTTAATTTGTTTCTCCATTTGAAATAAGGAAATACACGCTTCAAGGATTTAAATGCTCAAAACTTATTAATTTATTTTGTCTAATATATCGATTTACTACACTAAAAAATAATAATGTTGTTAAATTATTATTTTGAGACGTACGTGTTGAAAAAATTATGAGTTTATCGAGACTCCGTTATACTCGAAAACTATAGTGATTTCGTTATATCTTCGTGAATTCCGAACTAATCTCTCTATCCGATATCTCGCGTATACCATACGATTACTTCGCGAAGCTGGAACTTCCATCTGACCATTAAAAATTTACCCATGGCTTAACCTCGTCTTCTGAAATCCTTGAGAATACATCGGAGCTAAGAGTCCGTGGTATGTAGTAACTTGAAAATGCTCGGAGGCCAGATGGAGAGCTCAAGCGTGGTTAGAAGATCTCGAGTCTTAGCTGGGAAAGCAGTCGGCTTTTAGTTCTCGCTACCGCTTCCATTAATACTAAGAACACGCTTTGCTACGATATCTTCTAGTTTATTTTATTCATTTTGGTCGTGACACTTTTTGTAACCGATCGTTATCCGGAATAATCTACCGGGACGTGCGATTTGTAAATATTTAACATAAATATAACTAGATGATGCGTTCCGCGTGATTGTAATAATCTCAAGATTTACGCTGCATCGGTTGCATAACTAACAATAACGCGCACGCGCCGCTTTCGATCGATTACGCGATAGTATATCGATTCTAAAATTTATCGGGATGGAAAAGTGACTCGAAATATAGAACAATATATATATATATATATATATATATATATATATGAATCAAATGTATCAATATCTCTCTTCATGTACTAAATAACGTATAAACAATATTTGATTAACGCGAATGAAACGGTTCGATAAACAGATAGGCGTGCACTCGCGCAATAATCCCGGAGACTGCTATTGTGTGTATATATCTCGCTATACCAAATTACCAATTTATATTTATCATCTGGAAGTGTAACGTGGCATCACGTATACGGTGTCATTGTATGTGAGATTTCTGCGCACATTGTCATTTCGATGGACAACATTTTCCGGAAGGTAGTAAAGCGTGATGTGAACCGTTGCTGGTAATGAGCTGGCAATATAATGTCTAAGCCGGCTTGGTCCAGCCTGGCTACCCTGGAGATAGGACCCTACGCCTGAACATCAATATATTGATGACTGTGCGGACGGAGATTAAGAGCTGCCATCTATATCGACGCTTGAGCCCTCTTGTAACGTGACACATCGGATGCCATTAATAAAGAGACGGTACTTTCGTTCGCGGCTGGCGGAAAGCTATAATAGGTATTTTGATCCTGGCTAAGAAGGCATGGAAAAGACGAGAGATCTTTTTCCATTATATCATCGAGATGATAATGAGGGATATTATATGTCCCTTAAAGAGTAAAGGAAAATATATATTAAAACTGTTTTACTTTTTTTTTGCCAATAATATACTATCGATCATGCGAAGTGATTTTAATTATCGAACTATTTCTAGGCAATGTATTATCGATAATGAAGATCATGGATTAACGATTAAAATTAAACATTTTATCTGTTATGCCTTGAGCCATATATTTGATATATTACAAATAAAACTCTTAATCGTTCATTAATTATAAAAAAACATAATGAAGCGAAAGATGAATTAATAATTGATGAGATTTTAAAGTAACGTCGACGCGGTTAGCTTTCCTAAAGCGGAAAACGTCGGAAAGCTGCATAATATCGATTCACGGTGAAGTGCGTATCAAATGGGTGGGCAAGAGGACAGCACGCGGAAACAGAATTGAACAAGCAGGAGAAGCTGTGGGCGAGTAAAGGCGAGTCGTTACGTTGTCGGTACATCGCCTCTTTCGATACATTTCGAGTGCGGTTACGTGACACTGCGCCGTGCCCACGAGTCGAGTGGTAGATGGATTCGAAGGAAGGGGTCGGTGAAGATACAGGGCAGAGGAAATGGGAGAATAGGGATGAAAATGGGGTAGGACGAGAGACGACATGGGATTGGAGGGCGAGATGTGTGGACTCGGCGCGGAGAGGCAGCGCGGTAATCGGCAGCAAGTGAATTGGAACAAATGCAGACAGACGTGAGGTGGACTGCTAGATATTCTCCCTCTCTTTCTCTCCTTCTCTTTTTCTCTTTTTCTTTCTTTTTCGTTTGATACCGCAACCAAGAAATATAGTATAAATCGAAGTATCGTATTAATTGAGTTCATCCCTATCGTCGAACGTAACAGGCAACGTTTCTTATTTTGTTCGGCCTCAAGACGAATCGATGAAACGTGGGAATCGACGAGCAGCGAGGGAAATGATGACGAAAGAGAGATATAGGGGAGCATTTAAGAGAGAACCACATGACAACTTATCTTGGCTTATTGCATTATTCTTTGGGACCCAAGTCGTTGTATCATCGTTAGAGCCGAAATGTGTTTATATTGCACGAAATACGTTCGGAATATTTGTATAATCGAAATACTTAGTACGAAAGAGCCAATTCGTTACTTTGGCTATTATATAATATGCGCATACATAGCAGTTATTGTTCGCGACGCTTCATTTACTTTTCAAAGTGCTCGCTTATTATATTTGATATTATATTAGAAGAAGGTTACTGCGCGTGTGCGCGCGGCAATCTTGATTTTGGTCTTCGAACGTAATATCCGGCAGTGCTTGTAGACGACGCGAGGAAGTAAAACTAATTTCGTAAATCCTTTAATCTACGCGTTTGGTGGAAAGCCGAGGCGAGATTAAGGGAAGCGGTCTGAATGGGCAAGCTCCTGGGTGTTTGATGGAATATGATGAACGAGGTACGTAAAACTTGGTTATTGGTATACCGGATCAAATAGAGGCAAAAAAAGCAACTTTAATCTGACGCGCCGCAATTAAAACATTGACCAAAGTCACGCCATGCAATCGCACATAATAACGAGATAGTTGATCATGTTTTTTCATTGATTTATACGTTGCATTTATTCGTGTACAAAATGCCTTGTTGAAATATACAATTCCTTCATTAAGTTTAGAGATTTTCCTCGTTAATGCTCCTTTAGGTCGAGCTTTGTCGGAATAATCTGATGGAATACCATTCAATTGAAGATACTTCAAGAAATATAGATCGTTACGTCAATTGTTCTACTTACAAGTGTTTGACAAAATATCGAAATTGTTTTCGCATAATAAAATCAATTATGTTACTAAAAGTTTCGTGTATTGTTCAACGAATAATATTGACTTTTATATTAATATTAACATAGTATATTTTTTTTAGTTATTAGGACTGAAATCTATTGAAATCAATATTTTGTGTTATATCTGTTACTAAACTAATTATATCTTAATTATTTTTCATGAGTTTATACATGATGTTGAACATTAAATAAAAATATTCTCTAATATAGTAGAACAAGTGACTGGTTGTATCAACATGTTAAAATTACGTCTCCCGATCGAAAAATCATTATATTGAACAATAATATCATAATATTACACCGTCACGGGATTCGTTCATAAAAATAGGATCAACTGTCAATCAAAAATAGATATCGATAAAAAAAATCAACAACGATATAGTAATGGCAGAATCACGTTTTCGGTATAGATTCGAACGATTGCAAATATAGACATATCGTTTCGTTTGACAAACAAACATGATACTATGACAGATTTATAATATATAGCAAATATAAATGCAACTTGTATCAATATAACATGTCTATTTTTCTTGTCAGCATATTCGTCAGCACATGTTATTTTACATCGAATATAACATAAATTTAAAATTAACGCGCGCTAAGGAAAGTAAAGTAAAGATATTTCAACACATATAAATAATGAAATTATACACATTTTATTTATTAATATTCGAGTGAAATGTAAAACTCACTGTGCAAAATTGATTTACTTAAAAAAAATTAAGTTTGTGAAAAATGAACTTTGTTACTTACTGCCGTACGATTGCGCCAAAATGGAGGCAAAGACTTGACCGGGGCTGCGTGCGCCTCTTGCAACAGACGAACTCGACACGGACCCCACTGCGTGACGTGCGTTATCTTCATCATCGCTACTGGATTGAGCACTGGCTCCATAACCGCGCCGTTCTCTCCATTCCAGGGACCGTTGACGGCGCAGTCCACGGCCCCCATTTGCATGACCGCGGCCTAACGTACCCTCGCTGTCCATCACTACAGCATCTGCAACAAGTGAGTGACAACTTTGATGAGACAACGATCAAAGTACCAAGTGTTACGAAAAAAAGCATTAATGTTAAATAAACGCGCGTATCCCTGTAGATTTTATTATATAGAGACTACTGCAATTTGACAGCTGTTTTTTTTTACAACTTGACACTTTTTTAAAAAAGAGATAATAAAGTATACATTGATTTCCAACTGTAGTCGCGAAAATGCAAGAAAGACATATGAAATTTTTAATACAACTTTTCCTGGACGTCAGAGAATCTTAAGATTTTATATGAGAACGACAGATGACGAAACAAACACAACATGAAAATTGTTGCGTAGAATAACAATGATGCTATTCCGTGGAGCACCAATAGCACGTCAATGTCGAACAACAATGGCTCATTAGGCATTCACGGCCGTTGCTCGGAATCATTCAGGGACGAATGAAATCGAATTGTATATTCGACATTTGCTGATATTCAATGCAAATAATTCCAGCTTGGATGCTGACAGGTTTGTTACGTCTGAACCATAGAGCTGGTTGATATGCACTGTCAGTTCTAATATGTAAAGGAGATAATGATGTTTTTCTGATTCTGGTAGTGTTTTCAATGTAGAAAATTATCTGATAAAACGAAAGAGCAGAAGTAATAATATATATTTTATATCAAAATATTAAATTAATTGCCAATTATTTACAATAATTTTATATCTTTCAATTCGTCGTTTTTGATATGGTACAATTGGCAATAATTCATCGTTCATATTAATACATTTTTTATATCTGTTAAACGGAAGTTAAAGCGATCTTAGATTTTCGTAGAATTTTGCCGTTGACCCTCTCATTCGAGTGGAGACCTCCATAGATCGATAAGATCTCGAATGTGTATGGTGGCAGATAATTGAGTGGTGGATGCCTCTCGAAATTCCCATGGAGACGTCCTCTTGCTTGCCGTTGCTCTCCCTTGATTGCAGGGACCGTTGCGTTGATTGATGCTCCGAGGGAGAATCGAACAGCGATGTCTTAAGATCACTCACTGTTCCTTGGACTATGAAATTTAAGTTTAGGATGATTGGTATATATATTACAAATAGAATGGCTCTGTGTTACGTTTTTGATCACGTCTTCGATGAAGAATAAGAATTAATGTTAATTTATTGTCGTTGTTATTTTCGAGAACATTGATCGTATTTTTATACGGTTAATAATACATAATAATTGTAGACTTTCGAACGTGATATAAATGTGAGTGTCTGGCAAAAACAATCTCATGAAGTGATCCCGTTTCAATAAAAGAAAATAAATACCGCCGTTTACCAATGGCTGTATCCGATAGAATTGGTCAGGGAATTTGTTCGGCAAATATTATATGAAAATTGAATGAGATTGAAGTAAATTAAATTCTGTATATATGGCAAACACACACAAAGTGCGCCAAATCGATTTGTAATACGAAGTATAATAACGATTGTAATACACACACATACAGGGTTTGTCCGGAAAGTAATGCGTCGCATTTTTTTGTGACGCGACTATACATCGCAGAGCGATGGGACCGGTTGGGGAGGAAGGGGGGTACCCTTAGCTTTCCAACGGTAGGTCGCTCAATTGTTTCCATGCGCTTGGAGGGTTAGGACGGCTTATTCTGTGAACCTCTGCTTAGTGGTCGCGTCGAACTTGTGATGGAGAGAACGATAGAGCAACGCTATGCGATAAAGTTTTGCGTGAAGCTGGACAAGACGCCGCTGGAAACTTTTGAAATGCTCAAGAAAGTTTTCGGGGACGATTGCCTTTCCAAATCGCAGTCAAACAGATGGCACAAGATGTTTAGAGAAGGTCGGAAGGAGGTCGCCGACGAGGCCCGCGCAGGACGCCCGTCAACATCGCGAACGGACGACAATGTGACTCGTGTGCGCCAATTATTGAATTCAGACCGTCGAATGAATGTTCGCTTAATGTCGGAATTATTGAACTTGCCGAAAACGATTGTTCACGAGATTGTATCGGAAGACTTGGCCATGCGGAAGATTTGCGCAAAACTTGTGCCCAGAGTGTTGACCGATGCGCAAAAGCAACACCGAGTGGAAGTTTGTGAAGAACTCAAGCAACTCTGTGCAGATAATCCCAATTTCCTGAACAACGTTATCACTGGGGATGAGTCATGGGTCTTTCAGTACGATCCGGAGTCAAAGAGGCAGAGTGCGGAATGGCACACGACGTACAAGCTACTTCGACGGCCTCCCTGAACAGCATCCCAGTCAAGGAGTTCCAGAAATCTTATGACGCATGGAAATCGCGTTGGCAAAAATGTATTGACGCAGAAGGGTCATACTTCGAACAATTTTAAGTTGTTTTACCTATGCGATCAATAAATTCTTTTTTAAAAAATGCGACGCATTACTTTCCGGACAAACCCTGTACACACGCATCAGAAATTTATCATTCATATTTGATAAACAACATTTTCGCGCACACGTTCTAAAAAATAAATCGACGAGCATCGTAATACTTAAATGCCGTGAATGGAGGAAGCCATACTGTGGAATGACAAGCTTTATTCCGCCGTAATCCCGAATCAGGGAGCTAAACGCGACGGTTCATAACCACGAGCAGCATATCGGCGTGAATTCCCAGAAATTTGCAACCGTGAAATTTATGGAGAGATATCCAACGTTGTCGGGCGTCGCGTTAATAAATCTCAATGCTTCGCAAAACCGGGCGAGGGATAAGCCATCCTCTGAAAACGCGCCCTTATGCATCGTCAGGCACCTCTCTCTCTCACAGCCACTTTTCTCACTTGCCTCAATAGCGACTAACAGGTCCCATCCTCTACACACAAGGGCACTTTACAATGTATGTTTTGTTTTGTCGGCCTTTCGCATCCTCCTTCGTTCGCGTAAGTGCGTCGAGAATGTGGGCGACTTGTCAAACCGTAAGTGATTCGGAAAACAGCCGCGGCACGAGATGAGTTAACGAAGAACCCGCAAGCGTAGTCGAGTGCCTCTTTACGAGCAAAGCGAGAGGGACCTTCTCCTGTCAGTCTTCATGATTTCACGTCATCGATCGATATTTTTCATAACGCTGATTCTTAACTAAGCGGCAATGAAACAATTTCGATGACGTGCGAAAAGTGGGTACTCCATATCATTCGTAAATTTGACATTCGTATCCTGTGATCATTCATATCTCTTTATTATTTGATTTGAATAGAGGCTCGTTTCTCCATGACAAATTTTATTTTATCAATCAATGAGAACAATGGAAGAGAATAAACGCGAGAACCATTATAATTCTGGTAATTCAATCAGTTTCAAATTCATTAGTGTCAAGTGATGTATCTCGAAAGTATATTGTACACATAAAGTACATTGTTCAAGTCTGATTTGTAGCGACATTTTCTACTTATCTACGTTGAATTGCTCATTAAATAAATATTTAATTGCCGTCGAGCGTTTCTGGAATACAAACTGCCGTTGGCGTAAAAGTTTTCATCCCTCATTCTCGATGATCAACTTTAGTTATATCGTTTCAGCTAGATAGTCTTGAATAAACCGATGCTTCAAAATTAGTTTTGCGAATTAACGATCGAAGAATAATCTCCAATTTACGCGCGTGATTAGCGAAGTTCGAGACGTAGCTTTTCATGCCATCGTAATAGCGGGAAATTTTCACGGTGAAAGAAAATAGATAATCTAACATTACGCTTCCATATTACATAATGTATTACGTTATTACGTTATTTCGTAGTGAACGGTGTTCGTCGTTTTAATAGAAAGTTTTTATAAGGGGTCGTAAACATAAAGTAGATCATCCAGCCGTGGGGAGCTCTTATTTCTATAACACATATGGCTGATAACATAATGGGCTTGCGCAATATAAAGCGCTTTGCGAAGAGGGCTGTCACGGATTTGCTGACTGCGAGTTTAATATGATCCTGTTATTATCGTCTACTTATGCTTCTAACATGAAATTTGAACTTTAGAACGAAAAAAGAAGTGTGAACTTATATTTTCAGAAAATAATACACATTAATTCAATAAACAATTACAATTTTTTTAATTACTCGGCGATGAAATAATGTATGGTGATGAGATAATGGCTAAATCTCGAAAGAGAGAAAGGATTAAATGTTACACGTTTTACAAAGTTTTCCTTTCTTTTTTATTACTGTTAGTTATCGTAGCTAATAAGATTGCTGTGCCGAAATTTCTCGGTGAATCTCAAACGAGACAAAATTGGTACCAAAAATCATAATCTTACGAAGAAACGTGGGAAAATACGTTGACTGCGTCCTATGTCAGATATAGAACGAAACATTCGGGTAGAAGTTCTCAATATTGAGGCGCGTCTCTTTCTCACATGTGTTTATTATTGCCAAAAAATCGTTGCAGTTCTGTAATAATGGACCAACAAAAAATGCGAAAGTTTTCCACTACTTTTCAACAATAATGCCAGCTGTTCTCTGGACACCATTCCAAGTTCCACGTATTGTTTATTAGATTAAATAAAAGAAAAGTTTCTTTTTTTCCGCGAGAAAACGCGAAGAGAGTTTTGTCAGGTTTCGCAACGTTTTCGCGTGTGCATATACTCTCCACTCAGCGAGTATAAATCTGCACGTGTCGTACGTAACCTCTTAGAAAGGAGTTAAAAATCCTCAGCCACGCAGTGTATGTATAACCTGCGCGAAAAGTCGTTTCGTAATATCTTCCCATACTGGAGAATATAGTAGCACTCCGACTTTCAGACCACGAATTCAGTCTTAGAGAGGGCATACCATAAAAGGCTTTAAGAGTTTCCCCGTGTTCGTGCGAATTGAGTGGGATTTGCATGCCACGCCGCCGCGAGAATTTCACGAGAAATGTGGACCGGGTTTTTAAACGGCATCTAATGAAGGTAACAGTAGACGACATTGTTCAAATCCGCCACGCTTTGGGATGGAATGTAAGAAGGACATCTGAATGCATGAAATATAAACTGACGGTAGTAGGGTCGTCAGATATACATAGTT